ACAAAATTAGTCTGAGTAAATAAGACAGACCTATAAAATGTCACAATGCCTGGTCTATAGTAAATAATCAATGATGCTACTTGTCTTTTGAAGTGGCTAGTCGGGGTAGGGGGCAGTTACCACAATTGCTCCTGGGCTATAGAGATACAGGGGTGATCAAAGCATGATTTCCTGATGCTACCCTCAGTAGACTCTTCTGAGCTTCTTCATCTCTGGTTGGCTCTGCTGCACCAGAGTCTCTTCGCCAGCAGTGGCCCCTCAGAACAGGGCACCCTCTGGACTTTACCCTGTGCAGCCAACGTGTCCTGTGTCTACACACAGCATGGGACTGAAGCATATTCTCTGGGAAGTACAGCTAGGCCTCTTGTGGTCCCCTTGCTTTCCTCGGCTTGCATTCGTGGTAAGAGGGACCCGGACGGCTTTAATTCACCTCTGAAAGGCTCTACAGTCAAAATAAGCTCTTTGGGAATTTATACCTAGGTCACCTGGCTAGTGTGGTGACTGCTTACCTCAGAGGCGATAGAGGTAAAGCTGCTGCTGAAATGCACGTGCTTATGGATCTCACTGCCATTGGCGGTCAGAAGCCAGTCACCAAAGGCCTGGTCTTGGCCATCTGACTGATTGCTGTGGCTCTGGTTGGGCAGGAGCTCGGCCATGTCCCAGTGATACGATGGTGTGGCTCCAATTAGTGCAATGAGGATGGCTTCCGTGGCCACATAAAGCTGAAAGGAAACACACAGAATCAACTGCTGCAGATGTGGACATGTGCGGAAAACTCGGGAAGCCTGCAGACCTTGAAAGATACAGTGATTGGCTAGGGATGTAGCTCAGTGGGTAGAGTGTTTGCCTACCACTGCCTAAACCACGCCTGGTACATCACCTGTGTAATTCCAGTACTGAGGGGGTGGAGGCAGAAGGATCCAAAGTCCAAGTTCATCTTCAGTTACACAGTGAGTTCAAGAAAGCTTGAAATACATGGTAGTCTAACTCAGGCAGACAAAGGAGAAAGGGGGAAAGAGGGGCGGGTCCTCTTCCAGAGGAACCAGATTTCATTCCCAGCATCTACACGGCAGTTGAGAATCAACCATCCACAGCCCCAGTTCCAGGGAATCCTATGCCCTTTTCTGACCTCCACAGGCACCAGACATGCATGTAGTACACATACCTACATGCAGGTAAAACATGCACAAACATAAAGTAAAAACAAATAACCAAAGAAGATGAGGAGGAAGAGGAAGAAAGTGGTGGGGGAGGGTGGGTGTCTTGCTTCCATGTTTTGTCTTGTTGTAGCTAGAAATGGGCCACAGGAGCAGTCAGGAAGACAAACATGAAGAAGCAGAGTCCCTCGCTACAGGGGCCATCAGCAGCCCGTTCGTGGAGCACTGTGCGCTGCTTCAGACAGTTGTTTTCCTTCCACATCTGGGGTGTGTCTGATGCCATGGGCTCTGTGTGATACTGTACAGCACTGGCAGCACAGCCCACACCACTGACTCTGCTTTAACAGACTGACACTCCAGTTATTTCCTTCTCAGCCATGTTTCCAGCTTGAATAATCGGTTCCCAGGAGTCAGGAGGCGCTTGGCTTTGGACTCGCAATCCAAACAGCACATTGTTTTAAAAATGTGACATGCAACTCTTAAGACTGAAAAAGATTCAGAATCTCAGGCATATTCAGATTATAACTTGTAGCTGTATTTAATCTTGGTTTAATTTAACCATAACTGTTGATTAATAAGGAAAAAATACAGCACCAATTCATTCAAGAAATGTTTACTGAATACATATGCCATCTGCCGATTGCTGTAGATCTGGTGATTTCTCACAGTTGGGTTTCTGGGTTGTTGAGTCCTCTCAGACTTTACTGATATGGATATCTGTTTATGTTAGCTCTCACTGCTGGATGATTATTTCAGATTTGAAATTCACTAAGAAAATACATAATTAGTCTGCAAGTTAAGACAATCTTATTTTAGGAAGATAAGATCCCTGTTAACTTTTAACTTGGTCTTAAAATACCAATAAACAGAGTGTCTAAAAAATACAAAGCATGTGATTCCTATCAGTGTATGGCCATGAGCCCACTCACTATAAGAGCTGACCGAGGCATATAAAGACAGGCAGTCTATCAGAGGATTCCTGTTCAGTTAACCAAGAACTCTAGCTGGGGGATCTTTCCACACCATTCTGCAGGGCATGTTGAGCTCAGCAGATAAACAGAAGAACTAACAGTGGAATTTTATCAGTGGTAGACAACGGAATTAGTCAAGGAAAGAGAAAAGGAGTCGTGATATTTTGTGCATTTATCAGAAGCGAATGCAAAATCTGAGTTGTGACTACTTCCCTCTTGTTAAGGCTGAGGGGACACAAGGCAGTCCCACACTATTTTGAGTGGATGGACTGTGGACCTTTTGGGAGAAGGGCAAAGCTAGCATGGCTCATATGCTGTGAGATTTATTATAAGGCACAAAGGAAAATATGTTCCTAGGCGCCCATGCTTCCTGGACCTTATTTGCATACTATTAAGGACATTTTAGAAGAGGAGGCAATCAGCTTATAAAAATAAAAACCTTAATAATCACAAGAACAAATAGATTACACATCCAGCAGTAGCTATAATTACAAAGTCACTTTCATCCATTTACCAACTGGCCCTCTGATTACAATCTGCTGAAATTTAATTGATGGGTATAAAGAAATGAAAACCATGGGCCAAGGGAACGCAGGAGATGACTCAAAGCACAGCCTTTCATCAGGCAAAACAAACTAGCCACATCCCTCTCTAACTGTGCCCCTTTACCTCTGCGCACTCCGCTCCCTCCCCAGAGGCAGCGTCTCCTCTCAAGCCACGTTAAAACGCTTCTCATTCTCTGAAAGTCAGGCTCATTTACCGGTTACCTCACCGACTCGGCTTCCTCTCCAGTGGTCTAGAAGTCATGCTCGTGCATATTTGTTATGTCTGACTCATCTTTTGGCTTCCAAAATAAATAACCCAGGGTCCCCACACTCAACAAGGGAGATGAATAAGTGACCAAGAAGGACATGAGCACATGCTTTTATAATGCTAGCTATGTGCCATTCTTAGTATAGGTTTCTGCTGAATGTATATTAGTACATGATATTTTTATCTGCATTGTTCTAGGATAAGCAATATTCTAGATAAAAGAGGAAATGCTCTAACGGGTCCTCTCATCTGAGGTGTGCCTCATTATGAAGGCGACTGTTCTGGGTATATACTACAATTTGAGGAAAACCGTTCAAAACAAAGAGGTGCTATTGTATTCCTTTATTCATAGGGAACAATGGAAACTAGTCAATCAGCATTGTAGCTAGAGTTTTCCTGCCTTGCCCACAGTCAGGACAAATCTTTGTAACCTGCCAGTCCCACAGCCGCTCAGACCCAACCAAGTAAACACAGAGACTTACATTGCTTACAAACTGTATGGTCGTGGCAGGCTTCTTGCTAACTGTTCTAATATCTTAAATTAACCAATTTCTATAAATCTATAGCTCGTGGCTTACTGGCATCTTGACATGCTTGTCCTGGCGGCAGCTGGCAGTGACTCCTTCCACCTTCCTGTTCTTTCTTTTCTCCTCTCTGTTAGTCCCGCCTATACTTTCTGCCATGCCACAGGCCAATCAGTGTTTTATTTATTGACCAATCAGAGCAACTTGACATACAGACCATCCTACAGCACAGTCAAGTGCAGACCATCTCAGACACCTGCACTCAGGCCCGTGGTCCTAATCATCCTCTATACGGACCTGCTGGGTAAAGCCACGAGGAACCCAAGAACGGCTCCCACAGGACATACAGAACATCCCACAGCACAGTATTGTATGTTTTAAGCAGTGTGAACCCACTTCATTCCTAGCCATCAGTAAGCAGAATAAGCACTTTCTATCTTTGTCATCCTCTCTGCCCCCCCCCCAATGTCTTCTTGGTCCCCTTTATGAACAAGCCTGAGTGTGCACACACACATGCACACATCCACATTCAAGGTGCTCAATACATGGGTTCATCATTTTTACGTTAACGGAGAGGCTAAACATATGCAACTCTTCTATGCAGCACCAGCCCGTGGTCATGCTCAGCTTTGTTACTCACCGGGCAGACACAGTAGGCAGGTGGCAGCCATGCTGTGCGATGAACATTACACAAGAGCACCGTGAGGTTAGGTCAGAGAGGGAGGCTCCAGGTCCACAGTTATATTAGTGTTGGTCCTCCATACCAGAGGGACATCCTGGGGTCACGTGGTCATAGGAAGTCAAAGATGACATAACCAGCCCTGAAATGCACCACCCCCACACAACATGGGGGTGATTTTCCTTGGTTTGCCATTTTTGACTGTGACATTCTCACACAGTTCACACATCCGACTCTGTCCCCCAGAGAACAAAAGCAGACTCTCACTCTTTACTATCACTCTGCCATTACCATGTGCACACTCACCCACGTTTTTGTCCAATGAAATCACACCTATGAGCAGATGGGCTTTAAAGCCACAGTAAGAAACCACTATCTATTCTCCTTCCGTGTGGGATAACAACATCTCAGATAAATCATTTATGCCCTTGGGCTCCAGCTCCAGGGAAGAACAAGTACCACAGATGGCTGGATCCCCCCATTCCACCCCTCACCCCAGTGGAATTACACTTACAATGATTCAAGGGTATTGAAATTTCAAGTTTCTGAAAGCGAAGGTTTCTAAAGTAATTTTGTAGTAACACCATTATGGGCTTTCATAATACTTCTCAGGAAACCATCACAACCCTACACTGTGAAGTCATGGCTGTGCCTGATATTCACTTTGTGAGTCGGAACAAGACACAGGGCAATTAAATACCATTCAAGGTTTTCTCTAACCACAAATCAAGATGAGAGTGGGTTCATCTAACTTTAGGGGTAGATCTTTTTTCAGGGGAACATAAAGGACAAAAATCAAAGTAGAATTCATTGCTGGCATTACTATTAGTGTTTTACGCACTTAGGACTCAATTGTTTAACTGGTCAACCAGAAACACTGTGTGAATAAGCCCCCAAACATGAAAGCGAGACCACATGCCCAGTGTCTGGAACATGAGAGCATTATTAGCTCTTGACTGAGTGACTTGCGGAGGAGGACGTATTTGGGAGGTTTAAAGTGTGGAATTCACACATTCTAAATCACTGGTGCTTCTCTTCTCTAATCCATCTACAGATAACCAGCTCAGTTTCCTGAAACTCCTCCGCAAACTCTGCCGGTTGAATCATGTTAGTGGGTGCAGGATTATTTTCCTATAGCCCACTTGCTAACTAGTCCACACACAGCTGCCTGCACTGGCTTGCTCACTCCCGGGTGTGACTACCACGTGCTGTGAGAGCACACGGGTCTTAACCTGAGTCTGAGGCTCAGCTATAGTCACACTCTCTACACTCACGTCTTCTTGTAATACAGTTGGATCTTAATGGCATGTCTTTGCCTATGCACGCCTATCTAACTAGCCTCTCCGGAGGGTCCAATGGGACACTTCTTTACTGAACAGCAAAGTTGTACAGTACTATGCAAGCACTGTACACCAGGACTCCCCAAACTTGAATCAGCAGAGACTTTCTGGATCAGGGTGAAGATTGACTGTTTCTTACCAGCTCCAAAAT